GAAATAGAGTTACAGATGTAGAAAATAAACTTATGGTTACCAGGGCGTAAGGGCGGGGGGGGGGGGTTAAAGTGGAAGATTGGGATTGACATATACACACTACTATATTTAAAAGAGATAACCTACTCTATAGCATAGGGAACTCTACTCAATACTCTGTAATGACCTATATGGGAAAAGAATCTAAAAAAGAGTGGAAATATGTAGATGTATAACAGATTCACTTTGCTGTACACCTGAAACTAACACAACATTGTAAATTAACTATACTCCAATAAAAATTTTTTTTAAAAAGCAGGGGCGAATGTTGAAAGGAGGTGAGAGGATGTTGTTTCTAAATATAAAATGTATATTAACTGCCATGGACATAGAAGGAGATGATTCACTTCACAGGGAAAGCAAGCAGAGAGAAACCAGAAGATCATGTGATTATAAATGGTGATAGACCTCTGAGTCAAATCTCAGGTTAGTGGTTTCAGAAATCAAGGTGCTTCTCTTAGATGCTGGGTTCAAAGTAATCTTGTAACCTAATGGACCTTCAGCCCACTTAATTAATTGTGTCAACAGATCCCCACAGTCCAGTTCTGTTTGCTCTTCAGTTTTAATTCATGGGTCCTGAGCAGTAGTTCTCACACATGAGTGTGCATCAGAACCTGTGGTTTATTAAACAAGAATCACCTGTAGTTTATTAAACGTGAAGCTTCTAGTGTTCTACCTCTGGAGAATCTAGTTCAGCAGGGCTGCCAGAGGGCCCTGGAAGCTGTATTTATGATGCACACTCTAGCTGGTTCAGCCATGGAATGAACTATGAAAACCAATGATTTAGTGGAGCTTGGGATTTAGGTAGTTTTGACAGGGGAGAAATATATGAAGAATAATCAGGAAATGATTGGGATGGACTGCCATAACCTCACAGAAAAATCATTTAAATTAATCCACTCATCTGACTAAAGCAAGATTGTACATATCTTATAATTATATTCAACAAATGTTAGATAAATGTTCAAGAGTCTTATCCCAAATATTATTGAAACATTGTTTTTAGTAATAGTTAACTGTTTGCTTCATGGACATTTCTAGAATCATGATGATTTTGAAAACTTTCTTACAGCATTCAAAATATAGATGGAAATGAACAGGTTCATAGACCCCATCTCACTTTAATGAACACTTGCTACATTTCCACCAGAAACCCTGTCCTGGGTTAATATCTGGCTTCGCCTTCATGTCTAATGGTAGGAGACAGAAAAAATGTCCCTGCTAATTACAGAACAATGGAATGTAGTTGGTACCATAATAGATGGACCTATAGAAAACAGGTGAAATGAGATGAAGAAGCAAGTTTTTCAACCTAAAAGAAACTTTAAAGATAATTCTTAGGTCTATCAAAGACTTGTTTCACAAAGAAAAAATTGGGGCTCAGAATTAGGGAGGCTTCAACGTTTTCCTTCATTTGTGTGAAAGACCTTACTTAAAACTCTACATCATGCTTTCTGTCCCACCCACATGAACTTTGTAAATGATATTCTGGGGGGTGTATATATGTGTTTTGGTATGTAAATGAAAGAAAACTGTAAATATAACTATAACATTGTTTTATTTAATTTAATTTACATGGGCCTTTGGATCTTCTGAAATATCTTGATCATTGGGATTCTCATACCGTCTTTTTTTAACATGGTGGATTTTTTATATGGCTGGACCGATCAGCACACATGTGCTTCCCTAACCCATGATTTCCCAGGTACTGGGGACCACACGTGTAGAGCTATATGGAGTTAGTGTCAGATATCAGGTTTTTCTTTCTGAAACCTCACGCTGTCATGAAAATAAATGCATTTTGGGACAGGATTTGGTAATATTTTGACGTGTGGCATATTTAAAACCTAGGTACCCAAAGCAAAACAACAACAAACAAAACTAAAAGAAAAAGGAACAAAGAAAGAAATGCCTCTCTACACCTCCCACTTCTTCTAAGTCTCTAGCAGGGCTGGCAACAGGCAAGGAATGATCCTTTGAACTCTGTATTTCTATGGATAATGTCCCAGTTGATTTTTGAGTAGGAGGCTACCAGAGCAAGGCCACACAACACAGATATGCAGGGATAGAAAGCTTCCTTCAGGGGTGAAGTTGAAGCAGTTAGCAATTGTTAAATCTCTTTCCTGGCAAGCTCTAATCTGGGGCTGACAGGGAATTACAGGTCTTAATGGTTTATAGCAGAGCTCTTAGTCATATTATTTCTGAAACACAGAGCAGCTAACAAAACTTAGACTAGGTAAAATGGACAACTGCACAATTTTGCTTAATTCAAGTGTTAACCTCTAATTTGGGGCTTGAGGGCAGAGCAGAAATGTGATAAATGTTCATAATCTGCCTCCCCAGAAGTCTCTTTCTTTAAACTCAGTAGGGTTCAGCTAGCTTTGCCTGTCTGCTCTCTAAAAGGAAGGATGTAGTTGCTAATTTGCTGAATACTTTGGATAAATTCCCAACTTCGTTTTAGACAACTGGACCAATTATGAACTACTTGGAGAACACCTCACAGAACAAGCTGATAGAATAAAACAGCAGAGTGTTCTATCCTGATTTAGGGATTTTGGAGTGAGCCCAGGAGTTAAGAGGCCTGGGTTCAAATTCCTGCAGTGTAGGGGTGGGTGGGACTTTAACATAAAGCGTTTGGAATTAGACCCAGCTTTATACAATACCTGTTACTTTCTAGCTGGGTGAACTTGAATTACTTAGCTTTTGAAGCGGCAGATTTCTTATCTGTGTAATGGCAGATAGAGGGTGTTTGGAAAGTATCTGTGGTGAGTGACTGCTTACTTCACTGAGTGGTTAAGAGAATTAAAGGCATGAATTCACATGTGGCATTTAGGATAGTATTTGGCTCATATGTAGCAATACTCAATAAGGGGTAATTATTTTTCCTATTTCTAGCTTACGGTTTTGCACAAATCACTTAATCTGTCTTAATCTCTCTTTCCTTTATCTGAATCATATTTAATGGAGTTTTTGGCTGAGAATTAATGGAAAGAATTTTATGAAAATGCCTGGCTCACAGTAGGCCCTCAATAGAGGAAAAAAGAAAAGAAAAAAAAGAAAAAGAAAAAAAGACAAATGGAATCTGCCCCTGGGTATCTGGGCTGCTCAGAGCTTCTAAACATGCAATTTTGGATCATTAACTCTTTGTGCAATCCATCAATTATCACTACTTGAAAGTGGAGAAGCACTTCAACATGCAATGCAAGGATGTGACCAAGAAAAGGAAGCTCGAACATATTTGGGGGGGAGTAAGTGAAGCCACTCAGAGTGAGTGGATCAGGAAGGAAGCCTTAAAGGCTCTGGTTTAGTTGCTTAGCAGGACCTAGCAGAAGTAGCTTTCAGTCTAAAGATGTCAAGTAAATAGGACCTCAAGGGCAAAGAAAATATCATTTGTTCTTTTGGTAGTTTCTACAGTTTTATTAGGAGCACAAGTTGAGCACATAATAGGCAACAAATAAATGCTTGTTGATGATACACACTATTGGTTGTGCACCCAGTGGCTATTCTCTTTTTCCTCTTGGTGATAGAAACCTGGTTTTGATCAGGCAACAAAAGGTCCAGCCCCAGAAAAATGACTCATGGTTGCTCTAAATCAATCATAGCAGTTCTATTCTTCTTACCCAGTGATTGGTCTAGAAGTGGTCATATAACACAGTTATGGCCAATAAGACATCTGCTGACTATTTCTGGGAAATATTTTTCTTCTGAAAAGATAAATATTCATCAGGAGAAGTCACCCCCCGCCTTTTTTTTTTTTAGTTTTGCTCTCATCCTGTGACCTCCTGTTTAGGACCCTATTGCCTACAGAACTTGTAATTGAAGCAGCCATCTTGTGATGAGGGGAAATTTTGCCAATACAATGAGAAATGCAAAGAGGAAGGATGGGAGGAGCCTGAGTCCTTCATGATATCTTTGAGCTGTAAACCAAACCCAGGGGCAACACACTTCTTATTAAGTAAATAATATGTGTTCTTATGGTTTAAGCCACTGTTAATCAAGTTTTCTGTTTATTACAGGTTAACCCTGGTAATAATAATAATGATAACATTTAGAGTCCTTACTATGTGCTGGGAATTTTCTAAGTGCTTCGTATATGTTTGTTCCTTTTTTTTTTTTTTTCTTTTTTTTTTTGCAGTACGCGGGCCTCACTGTTGTGGCCTCTCCCGTTGCAGAGCACAGGCTCCGGATGTGCAGGCCCAGCGGCCATGGCTCATGGGCCCAGCCACTCCGTGGCATATGGGATCTTCCTGGACCCGGGCACGAACCTGTTATTAACTTGCCCAGTGTTACAAACATAGTAAGCTACAGAGTTAGCATTTACATCTAGTTATCTGTTTCTACTACTATATAAGCTACTTCAGTACAGCTGAAATATTTATAATAACATAAAAATTGTCAGATTAAATTGCCTTATGTTGGCCAGAGAGCAATAAGAAAACACCTGAATCCTAATTTATTAATATAATATCAGGAATATAATAGCCAAGAGCCTATATAATGGCTATTTCATATATCTACTAAAGAAATTAAACATAATTTTTCCTGTATTTCGAAAATATGTACAAATGTAACCAAAGTACCAGGAAACATGTAACAAAAATGTTATTTTATGGGGGAATGGTTTACCAGTTAACAATGATTCGAAATGGTTCAAAAATTAAAATCATAAAAATGTAAATTAAAAAAAATTTTATTTATTTTTGGCTGCGTTGGGTCTTCGTTGCTGCGTGTGGACTTTCTCTAGTTGTGGCGAGCGGGGGCTACTCTTTGTTGCGGTGCGGGGGCTTCTCACTGAGGTGGCTTCTCTTGTTGCAGAGCATGGGCCCTAGAGCACACGGGCTTCAGTAGTTGCAACATGTGGGCTCAGTAGTTGTGGCTCGCGGGCTGTAGAGTGCAGACTCAGTAGTTGTGGCGTGTGGGCTTAGCTGCTCCAAGGATGTGGGATCTTCACAGACCAGGGCTTGAACCCATGTCCCCTGCACTGGCAGGCAGATTCTTAACCACTGCGCCACCAGGGAAGTCCCATAAAAATGTAAATTATAATAGAAGACTGGGTTTCACTCGATAACCATGCAGAGTCCTGGGAGGAGCAATGGAAGGATCTGTCATTGCTTCAGCAAGTGATACTCCTAAATGAAATAACACAAGCTTGGAAAGAGCTATTTGTCTATCTTTTTGATAGGGTTTGCACTGAAAATATTTATTTACAAGGTGATTTTTTTCATGAATAAAACCAATAATAAGGTATCCTAATAATAAACCTAATAGATGAAAATGAAACTTTTCCTCCTCTGCCTCTTCTTCTTCACTCATAGTAAATGATAAGAAAAAACTCTTACAAGAACTGGAAAGGAAAGAATTGCAATTTGCTATCTTTGTACACATGCTTAAATGGTATTCTAAAGAGAAGAGGACAAATTAATTGGAGTATTGGTTCAAATGTTTGTAGTGACAAGCAATAGAAAATACAAATCAAAATGACTTAAACCATGCAGAAAATGAATTATCTCACTTTTTAAGAAGACATGATGTAGGGACAAATATAGACCTTATGTTCTAGAATTGTAATGAAAGAAAAAAGAATGATTTCCTGTAAAACCCTTGAAACAGAGCACATAACTAGCATTCAATAAATATTAGCTACCATTATCTCATCAGCTAGGTTTATGTCACAAGTCCATGTCTGTACCAATCACTGACAAAGGGAATGGCACTTTCATGATTATCTTAAATTCAGCCAGATTTTTTGTGTTTTTTTTTGAGCTAGTGAGATAGAAATAGGGTCACCTTGTTGACAGAACAATTCTATGAGCAAAGAAGTAGGAGAATGGCTGCTGGTTGAGAACAAATAGTGCCAGTACAACTGTGTTTAATGTAACTGGGGAGAAGATTTTTTAAAATGCTTTATTATATTTACGTATATTGATTGTCTGAGGTCTACAGGAAACCAGTAATACCAGTATGAAATTGAAGAGGCCCTATTGTATGAGGGTAAGTCTAGAGGAGGAGGGGGACAGAAAACTTACCACTCAAAACCCATACATTTGTCATATCAAGGGACTGCCCCGAAACTGGCTTAAGAAGTTAGGGATCTCAACCTCTTTTTCCCACCCAATGACATTCTCTAACCACAGTTGGCATTTGGCTAATCTTAGTCTCCTGCTTTATTCCAGTTCTTTGTGCTGTATTCCAAAGGCCATTCTTACTCTCCCATTATTCAACACCCATCTTTATAGTTGCTTAGTTTAGAAGCAAGAAGAGGGAACAGCCTTCTACCCAGGGACTTTTGGTTATATGGAAGAGAAACCTACTCAAGCTGGTTCAAGTAAATTGGTTGAGGGATACTACATCAAAATAAAAATAACCTTCATGAAGTCCAAATGTCACCAGGCCTCAGAAGAACTCTGGGAAAGTGACACTCAGGCTACTCTCTATCTCTTTGGGACTCTGTGGCAACTTACACTGATCTTACTGTATAGACCCAACATGGCACCCAGTGTTAATTCTATACTATTTAGCACAATCTCTCAGTTCAAGTTCTCTCCACTGACTCAGTCTCTCATTGTCCTAATTTTAAATTCCTGAGACACAAGTTTGATTATTTTCACTTATCAAACCAGGTGCTGGTTATCATGGAGATGAATTAGTGACTCCATATGTAGGGAATACTCTATTGTAATTGGATGGAAAGTGAAAATTATTCAGACTATGTGACAGATTATGGTAAATGGACTAAGCACTGAATTGAGAGTTTAGAAACCTAAGTTCTAATTCTGATTATGTCACTACCTGTTTGTAAGGTCTTACTTCTGCAAAATATGAAATTAAAATAGATGTTTTCTAAGGTTCCTCTTACCCTAATATTCTATAAATCGTCATTTTGTAATCTGTGACATAATTCCTGAAGTTATCAATTATTGTACATTGACTATGTTGTACCTAGATTGATTCCTTGTAGCAGATCAAGAACTTTAAACTCAGCAAAAATGTTTTACACAGCCCACCGTGGAGTGGCTAACTTCTGGGAGTACTTTCTGTAGAGTTAATCTAAGGTTAAAAATCTATCTGCATTTTTATTTATAGCCAACTTAGAAGATGCTAGAGAAGAAAGTATATCAGAGGTAAATCCAGGACCTCTGGATGAGGGAGCAATTGACTAAGATGCACAGTAGGAGTCTATTAGAGTGTTTATTGTTATTTTGTTAATGAATAAATAGTAGATGTTCAGTATTTATATCTCGCTAAATTGATAAGAACGTAATTATTACTTGTATTGCCATATTTAATAAGATTCACTGTAATCAATTCAACATTTTGTGTGCATGGATGCTATTCTGAACATAGAAATAGTCCCAGGCATTTTTTTCCTATTAAAATAGGGTTAAAGTTGAATGGCTTACTAGACTATATTCTGAATTCTCTGCTTCTACAATGACACAGGATTAAGAAACATATGCATGGAATTATGAAAGGTTTAAAGCAGAAAAAATTTCATATGTTTAAGTGTAAGTGGAAAATTTGACACTAGATTGGGTGCCTCACAAGGGGGTGATGGGCATAGAAACCACATTTGTATCAGTCACAGCAGAAGGAATAGGAGCTGCTTGGGCTGCCTTCATGTATTTGGTTATAGTGGAAGGAGAAGATGGCATTTCCTTCTCCAGTGGGAAGCCTGGATGAGGAAGCATTACAAGGTAGTGGAGACAAGTGAGGGCCCTGGAGTGAGACATCATCCTGAGTGTGTCCCTGCATCTCTGTGCCTTTGCCTCCTTGTCTTTGTTAGGTTTTCCAGAAGTAGACCCAGTGATCAATCAGGTTCAAGTGCAAATATTGGGAGGTGATCTGAGAAAACACTGGTAGGGGAGTGGGGAAGTAAGCAGATGAAGGGAAAGTGGCCAATAAAAGCTGAGTTATCAAGCGTGTTACAATTGTGAGACCAGAGCTTCACCCTACTGGGGAACTCTGAGAGCCAGTGTAGACCACACACTGCAGAGCCGACCCACCTGAGGAGCAGTCCTCTTGGTCATTGGTTGAGGGATGCTTCTAAGGGGGTGTTAATTCTCTGGCACTTCTGGTCAAATATACTGCAGGAAAGTGGGCTCTGGCCCAGAGATGCAGGTGTGTCGTGGGGGAGTCCTGCCAGCATGCACTAAAATGACGGGTCTGAGAGGCGATGGTCAGGGCACAGGCAGCACCTGCTGGAGTCTTTGCCTAGAAAATGGAGATGATGATTGTATCTACCAGAGAAGGTACTTGTGAAGATTAAATGGTACGTGCCAAGCTCTTAGCATGGTACTTGGCATATAACATTCAATAATGTTATTATTTTTTAATTTTTAAATATTATTAAAATCAGATCAATTTATGTTTGGTAGAAATGCCAAGCAGCGAGCTGTCTGGTGATAACATCTGGCTATGTCAAGGGAGGAGAGGAGGAGAAGCTGCCCATCTGTCAGCGATCTGCAAAAGTATCCCTGCACTGCATGAGAGGCTGAGCCAGGGGGCCTCTGAGGTGCTCTCCTACTCTGAGTTTCCATGGTTACTCAAACCTGTGTGCCTGCAGCAGACACATTTTATGCTCTTAGCCGCATGCCCTCCACCCACCTCATTTCTGCTGCAGCTGTGCTGGGCAGGTCCCGGTGTTGCTCCTGGGAGCCCATCTCAAGCACGTGCTACATCTCTCTGCTTCCAGCCTTGGGGTTTTTTTAAGGCAGGGTAGATTGGATGTGTGGGGAGTTAATGCCCCTGGGGGGAAGGGGATATGAATTGAAGACCTGGTCTTTATCCTCTGAGGGATGGTGAGTCCTGGGTAGAGGTGGTAAAACAAATGAAGTTAAAATATACTTGCTAAGTTAGAGCTCTGTTTGAGATGCTCTGAGCAGAGCTGCGGTGGAGTGGGGATGTTTGAGAGAGGAGAGCTGAATTGTGAAGGAATTCAAACAGAAGCCAGACAGGCAGAGAGACAGGTTTTCCGTTTGGAGAGGCCAGCAGGTGCACAGGTGTGTTGGAGGAAGAGCAGGGCCCAGAGTACATGGGGCAGGGAACTGTCGGAGATGGGAGAGAAAGGTAATCCGGGTCCTATGAGAAGGACCTTCCCCTGCAGGTATGGGGAGCTTCTGAGACTTTTAATCAGGAGAGGGACTGGATGAGATCTGTGCTTTGCTAAGTTTGCTCTGGCAGCAGTGGGGAGGGTAGACCTGAGAGAGGAGATGCTAGAGACAGGCGGTTCCAGCAATGGGGAAGACAGATAAGGACAGCCTGACCTAGGGCAATGGAGCAAGTGGGGGCTACGGTGATTTGCATCATCAGTGCTTTTAAAGAACAGGAGTAAGGCGGTGGGGGAAGGGAAGGGAGGGAAGCAGCAGAAGGTTAGAGGCCACAGCAAAGCATGTGAAGAGAACTTCCCTGTCAGTTGCTTCCTCAAATGGTTTGCAGATGAAACAAGTCTCTTTTTCCCCCCTCCCTTGAAATGGGCCCTAGAAGGACAGTTCTGCATCCTTCTTTTAAATCCACTACTAACTCATACGCAGATTTATTTCTAGAAGCCTTTAGTTCAAGTGAACCAACATCAGCATCTTCTTCAAAGGTCTTTGGACAGAATATCAGATTCCTTGGCTGGGTTTTGTTTCTTGGTGCATGGAGCTATTTCCTACATGGTACGTGGAAAGATGTCTTGGAACAACATGCGTTGGAATGTGAGGGAAATAACGTGGACTCATGCCAGACATTTGCAATGGCTGTGATGAATGGGTTGAAGAAAGACTCTTGCCAAGTTCATCCTTCTACTTGGAGACTGGGTACATATCAGGTGCAATATAAATAGAGTCCTTTAGGGAAAAGTCAGGGAAGAGGGTCCTCCATTACAGATGAGCCAAAAACTGATAAGTACCCCCTGCAATTACACAAAGATTGAAAGACAAGGCAAGGGAGAGTTATTTTTATCATGTGATCCACAGAACCCCAGAAACCCATCTGTAACAGTTTATGATTAGAAGAGTGCAGAGACACCAACCCTTGGAAACATCTATGTGATACATTCCGGAACAGTAACGTTGTATTTTACCCTTAATGAAATAATAACTATGCAGTAAAGGAAAAATTGTCTCAGCAATCCACTGATTTGTGTGCAAAGACAATAACTTTATTCTTGGACCTTACCATCCCCAGTTTTCTTAGATTGTGTTATTTTAACTCCAGATGTGCACAACATCTTGAAAATTACACTAAAGTAATAAACTGAATGTTTGATCTTGAATACCATTTTGTAATACATGCTTGCTTATGTTTGCAATGTAGAGAGTATTTTAATTATCTTTATGTATCTTAATAATTGTGCATTTGATGGAGAATATCATGGTCTGTAGCCCTGATGGGTCTTCAAGTCCCTGTTGGCTCTGGTTCTACTTGTTAATTCTGCAGACCTTCTGGCCCTGTTTTCTAAACTGGGGTACTCAGTGCATTTGGGGGGGATGGTAGGCAAAGTTAAGCAGTAAAAACAGCACATCTTCTTGTAGTGTGTTTATTTGATCAAAATTGAAAGAATACAGATACATTATGGAACAAATGTAAAATGTGTTTGTATTTCAAAAAAAACATGAGATCATAAAGAAATTTTGTATCTAGAGCCGGTTGCTCAGAAACACTTCCTGGCCCTCTAAAACTCTGTACCCCCTCACTTCCTCACCCAGGTTTGCTTTCGCTCTGCTCTTGTTACAGGTGCTTCAGAGGAGGAACATATTAAAGCACTAGCCTTGGAAATTCGCTGGGACTGGAATCAGGATAGCCTTGTCCTGTCTACGTAGTAACGATGCTGCCATGCGCAGCGAGTTTTAACGGTTCTGAGCCTTGCTTTTCTATCTGTAGAATGGAGATATTCTTCCCTATCCCATAAGGTCACTAAGATGGAAATGTAATTAGGTTGCTAATATCAAACTGGATTTTGGTCTTTAGTGAAATGAATATAAAAATTCAAAATATAGATCTTTCTTTTAAAGATCATTTAATTTAAAAGTCATTTAAAAAGCAGGCTTCTTGAAGACTGGGCCTCAATTTTTCTGTTTGCTGTTCCATAATTTTTACCTTGGTTTATTTTGTAATAGTGCCTGAGTTCTTTTGACACAAAGGCCCTTTGCATATTAAATACATTGAAAGAATTTTTTCCCTTCCACAAAGAAATACACTTTCTCAAAGCTCACTCCTCCAGTTCATTCTGATTTCTGTTCAAATGCCACTTCATTGGAGCGGCCTTCTGTGACCAACATATCTGCCCCTTCACCCCATCCCGACCCTCCACCCTTACTCTACCCCTGCTTTTTTTTTCTTCTCATATTATATACCACTCTCTGCAGTGCTATTGTATTTTTTGTTTATCGTCTCTCTCTTACAAATAAGAAACGGCTTGACAGGGGGAGGAACATGTCCATTCCCCCCGACCCTGCCCTTATATCCTTAGTGTTTAAAACAGTACCTGGCTCATAGTAGGTCTTCAATAAATAGTTGTAGAATGAAGCAAAGAATGATTTTTTTCCCCTTGATATATAATCCTTCAGGTCCGTCATGTCCCCGTATTTGACAGTGACGTTGGAAGAAGATATTTCTTTCCTATAAAATACCAACCTTGTAACCCTTATGGGAAATGGCAGCTGATGGGAGACTTCAGAGCAGAGGAGAAGGGGAGGCTGCGGGAAGTGGCGGGGACTGTGTGTGGGGAGGCAAGGCCCACCTCCCCTGGACGGTGAGATGGCTGTCTGAAATTTACCAGCTCTGGACTCGTATTTCAGCGGTGCAAATCCAGATCGCATCAAATTATCTCCTAATTTCTCTTAAAGAAGACAGAAATCGCCATTGTTTTTTTTGGGGGGTGGGGGCTTTTTTTGTGTGTGTGTGCTACAGGTACTTTTGTTTTGTGTTTTTACATTTATTTATTTATTTATTTGTTTTTGGCTGCGTTGGGTGTTGCTGCGTGCGGGTTTTCTCTAGTTGCGGCGAGTGTGGGCTACTCTTCATTGTGGTGCGCGGGCTTCTCGTTGCAGTGGCCTCTCGTTGCGGAGCACGGGCTCTAGGCACGTGGGCTTCAGTAGTTACAGCACGTGGGCTCAGTAGTTGTGGCACATGGACTCAGTAGTTGTGGCACATGGACTCAGTAGTTGTGGCACATGGACTCAGTAGTTGTGGCTCACCGGCTCTAGAGCGCAGACTCAGTAGTTGTGGCGCACGGGCTTAGTTGCTCCGCGGCATGTGGGATCTTCCGGGACCAGGGCTCGAACCCATGTCCCCTGTGTTGGCAGGCGGATTCTCAACCACTGCGCCACCACGGAAGCCCTCTCCATTGATTTTTAAATGCTAGCTCAAAAAAAAAAAATTGCAGGCCAAACACAATGCTATTTGGGGTCACTTTTGACCTCTGAGGTACATACCTTTCCTTCTCTAGGAAGCCTGGAAAATAGAATAGGACACATATACATGCTTAAAATGTCCTTGATGGGTTCTTGCCCTCAGTGAATGGCTGGCTGGGTCCAGCAGGAATTTACATGTTATGCAGGGACCTGGGGCCACGAGCCCTAAACTTCCGATTCAGAGTTAGCCTGGTCCCAAACCGCCTTCCTGGGCTGGCCTCACCTTACCACGCTCCCTTCTGCAACTCCTCAGCACTTCCCAATTTGTTCCAGTTTGGTTTTGCTCTTGTAAATTTATTAGTCTTAGACCATTTCACATGCATACACATCCTCTTTTAAGCTCTGACAATATCCCGTTAAAGCTCCTAACTCAATAAATATTTACTGACTGCATGACTGCTTTCCTCAGTACACATCTTCTGTCAATTGAGCAGCCTTTACCGGCACTGAATTTCCACGATCCGTGCCTTCTTGCACACAGTTCCAATCCGTCCATGGTGATGTGAAGGCCCGTTAACATCGATAGGTAAGAACCACTCTCTTTAAATTCTTCTACTAGCAGAAGCTCAGCACGAAGGACAATTTTCTATGTGAAAATGTGACTTTTAATGTTGGTATTTATTAGGTAGGATATAATTTTATGCAATGCTCATGTTCCATGAACTAAGTTAAAAGAAAGTCTTCAAAAATGAAAACAGTTCTTAGTTTAATAGCATTCATTCTCATCACAGGAAAGCAAAAGTGATGATGACCAGCAGCTTCCAAACTCTGTTAGTCAGGGTAGCCACATACAGCAACCAAAGGAATCCCAGAGCAGTCTCACCCCTGAGGCTGTTCACCTAGTAGTTTACTTAGCTTGTGGATGCTTCCCCTCCCACCTGCAAGATTTCCTCCTCTCTGTCCATCCCCCCACACAACTCCCCGACAAATCCACTTAGCAAGTGACTTTCAATATCAATAGAATTGCTGGGAGGAGAGATTTTCCTGTACCGAAAAAAAAAAAAAATCCGCATCACACAGGTGCAATGGCCTGCCTCGATGAAGAAAGGCTACCTGGATGCCTACAACAGAACCCATTTTTATACAATAACCCCCCGCTGCAATGTGAGGCTCTAGGTAATGTGATCTGTTTTCACACAGCCTAGTGTTAGGGTGCTACTGCCACTCACTGTAAAGGTTACTATCTCTCTTTTATTGTAATTACAAAAGCTAACTGCAAAACCCGAAACCTTGCTGGGAAATTGCCTACCTACACAAAGAACACAGAGACCCTATCGTTTCAGAGTTCACTTCTTTCCGAGCTTTTTTATAAAGGAGTTTTTGTCTGCCTTGCGAGGCTCAATCACGGAGAAATTGCAAATCCAGGTTAGCTGATGGCTTAGAGGGTTTCAGTGGAGGAGGTGCTCTTTGGTGGTTTGCATAGGGGTGCTTTACACTTTAAGTCACAAAGTTAATTAACACTACAACCCTGATACATTTTAGATAGTGGGAAGGGGGAGGGGGGAAAAGGGAGACAGAGAGAGAGAGAGAGGGAAAGGGAGAGTTTCCTACTAAATGATGTCTCCTGTTTTTTCAGATCCTATCAGCTTTCCTTGAAGGAGGCATTACAGTGTGTTCATTCTCCTGCTGTTTGCTTTCAGCACCCTCGGGCTCAAGGTTTGGATACTGTAATCACAATGCAGAGGGTGTTGGGAGGTACTTATTTTTATCCCCACTGCCAGCATCATCACAGTGTGTGTGATCCAAATTCACACTCCTCATACACACAGCCCGTGGCACTGCTGGGGAGCCAGCTGCTTTCCCCAAGGCTGAGATATGGTCAAGGTTCTTGTCTTGCCTCATCAAAAAGGTGATAGCAAAAATGTGTGAGTGAAACCTACACTCACAGTAGCTTACTTAACAAATTTGAAACGTGTTTCAAACGTGTGATTTGCTCTTCAGTGGGAGCCCAGGATGAAGACTGCCTGTCTGTATGTGTGTGTTTACGTGTGTGAACCTGTATTAGCTGTTGCAGACATGGTGAATGCTCTAGATGGGCTCTCCCTCTCTCCTTACTAACAGAAACTGGCTTTCCCAGGGCAGCAACGTGTTCAGCTCAGAGATCGAGTTTCCCCTGAGGTAGGTGTGGCCGTGTGACCAGGTTTGGGCTGACTGGACGTGGGCAGAGTATTCTGTGGAACTTCCAGGAAGCCTTCTGCAAAGGGAGGGCGGGCGCTTTTGCCCTTCCTGTCTCCCTGCTGACTGGAAAGCTGATATGAGGCTGGCGCCCCAATTAGAGATGCTGGACTACCAGGTGACCTTGAAGACACAGCTGAGGGTTGAGGTGAGGTACAGGAAGAGAGAAGGTGCCTCGGTCCCTGAAGCTTTTGCTGAGTTGTCACACCAGCCCTGACCTGCCTCCTCTGGTTTTTCCTTATGAGAGAAAATTCCTTTGTGTGTTTGGGTCATTATTTTTGGTGTCTCTGTCACAAGTAGCCAAATGCAATTGCTAACTGATATATCAACCTGAGGTTTAACGTTAATGAGGCCTGATTCGAGGGGTGAGTAAGCCCAGAGGACAGAGAATAGTGCCTGACACCGAGGTCGTGTGCAAAAAAGCTAGCTGTTAATGCCCCTTTGGGGAATTATTAATTTGCCAATCATCTCTGAGTTTACACTTTAATTTAGGAATACCCATTTTAATTCAGCTTTATGTTGCAACTATAAGGGCTCTAGAAGAGTGTCGACTCAGCTTGGTTGTCCTAACTGACATGTTCGACCCACGGAATTTGAGTGTATGTTAAGTTTCTTCATTTATTCATTCAGGAAATGTTTATTCAGTGCCTGTTTTGGGTGAGGCACAGCTTTAGATATCGGTGCGGGTCCAGGGGGTGGTTATATAAAGGAAAATGAGAGGGAGACTGGCTTCAAGCTTATAGACTAGGAAAGGAGAGAATTAATAAATAGTAATAACAGCTAATGTCCGCTGAGCACGCATGATCAGCTGCAGTATTTTACCTGTATCATCTCATTTAATATTGATAACAGCCCTTTGAAGTACACAGGTGCTCTTATTTTTCTAATTAAACAAGCAAGGATCTAGAGGTACAAGGAAATTAAGTAACTTGTGCAAAGTCATAGTGAGTGATGAAATTGGAAGTTGCAAATGGTATTTGTGTGCTCTTAATCACTATGCAACAACTATAATAATTCAGCAATTTATTGAGCCCATTTTATGTGCAAGACCAACATCGTGTTATAAGGCAGTGGTTCTCAAAGTGTGGTCCTCGGACCAGCAGCTGCAGTGTCACCTGGGAAATCCTAGAAATGCAAATCATGGGCCTCACCCCCAAACCTGCTGCATCAGAAACTCTGGGGTAGGGCCTGGCGAGCTGGGTTTTAACAAGACTTCCAGGTGATTCTGATGCCTGCTGAAGTTTGACAACCACAGTGGTAGGGATGAATAGATAGGTGAGACTAAGTTTGGAAGAGGGTAAAGCAGGTATATAAATAACTATACCTCCAGGCAGATAAGATGCAGAAAGGACTAGAATCCTATTGAGTTTGAGTTTCCTGCCAGATTTTCTGATTTTTCAAGAGAAGTTGGAATCCAGATTTTGATGGGAAATCTCTCAACTTTATCATTGGAGTCAAAATAAATTTTTAAAAAAATAAATAGGCAAAAATAAAACCTGTCTGCAAGGCAGGCAGCAGCCTGTGAGCCCTGCTGAGGACAATGGAGAGGCATAGAAGCTTTCAGTGGTCTGCCCAGAGCAGTCCGGGAGTTAATTTTCCTAAAGGCATTGTGGGAACTGGACTAGAGCTGTAAGACATGAATTCACTGTATTGGTTTGCTAGGGTTGCAAACAAAGTACTATAACCTGAGTAACTTAATCAACAGAACTGATTTTTCTCACAGTTCTGGAGGCTAGAAGCTTAAAATCAAGGTGTGGGAAGGCCTGGTTTCTTCTGAGGGCTCATCTGTTCATTGCTCTCTTAGATTCTAGTAGCCCCAGGCATTCATTCTTTGGCTTGTAGATGCAAACTTCACATGGTATTCTCCCAGGCTTCACATTGTTCTTTTCCTCTAAGGACACCAGTCACATTGGATTAGGTGCCCACCCTACCTCATCTTTACATCTGCAATGACCCTATTTCCAAACAAGGTCACATCCTGAGATGGTGTGGGTTAGGACTTCAACATATCTTTTTGGGGACACAATTCAATCCCCAAACATTCACTTTTAGGTAGTGTAATTCAATAGTTAAGTTCTTTGTTTTCCTTATAAGTGGAGGCTAATTCATTAATTTTTTCCTTGTTCCTTTCTGTGGGAATAGTTAAGAGGATATGATATACCTTAATGACATTTTATAGTCAATGTGTAGTTATTTGAGGACTTTACAATCAACTGAGACATGGAGCTAATGGTAAAGCAAATGACCTTTGCCTTATGTGAAGTAGAACACACAAAACAGAGCTCATTTAGAAGATACTTGAGAGGCTTGTGATTTTTGCGAACTTGGGTGAAGAGAGGTTACTTTGATAGAAATCCAAATATTCTGTTTGGCTTAAGGTGAGGTTAAGGCCCAATGGCTTTAAAGGGTCCCTCGAAACACTTTTAGTATTTGATTAGAGTATGGCTAGCCATGGAAATATGGGGAATTTTAAACATGGGATGATAAATCCAGAAAAATTTAGGAGCACACAGACAAGATTCTACCTCTCCATGTACTTTGTCCCCCAAAACTAATAGGAAAGTCTGACACAAAAGTCAAAAGATAGGCTCATATATTCTGAAAATGTCCTCACTTCTCAAGAGCTGGAAAAAATATAAAAAATTTAATTTTACCTTACTTTTAAGACATAATCTTCAATTGCATCCTTCTAGATTTTTGCATATATTTTCCCCTGTCTTTTGTGTGTGCACACCTGCATGTGTATGTTTTGTATAATTGAATCCAAAGTCAACCAGCTTAAGCCTAATGTCTGAATTGACATTAAAGATTTACTGCTTTGGGCTTCCCTAAGGATTTCTAAATTTAGAGTACAATACTTTTCAGCACTATCCACATTTTCTAATATTTTTATTTAAAATAACATAGGTAAAATGCATAAGAAGGGTTTAGTTTCAACCCCCCACCCCCTTTCTTAGCTGAAGAATTGTTTTTCAAAGGAAATCCAACATGTAAAAATAGATGTCAGGGGAGTTGCTCTGACTGAACCAAGAAGGGTTGAGGGGGTAGCTTCCAGGGGCTCCACCTGGGACCCCTTGGAGCATCATTTGAAAATCACTCCCGTGAAATATTTGCAGAAGGAAATGCCGAAGTCCTAATAAGACGGTTATGTTGCCAGTTGCTGGCCGGAAGATAGCAGCACAGCACAGGAGCTTGAGATGTGCGTTTCTCAACTCACTCATCCCATAAATATTTGTTGAGCGTCCCGGGTTCTGTGGCTGTGTGAAGTCTCAATAATGGCATATGAAATATAAATTAAGGGCTTGGGAATTCCCTGGCGGACCAGTGGTTAAGTCTCTGCACTCTCACTGCTGAGGGCCCGGGTTCGATCCCTGGCCGGGGAGCTAAGATCCCACAAGCCACGCTGCATGGCAAAAAAAAAGGGGTCAAAGTTTGGCAGATTTGCTAGGTGCCTTCTGTGATAGTCAGCCTCCAAGATGGCCCCCAACAACCCCCATCTCCTGGTATTTGTGGCTTCATGCAAGCCCCTGCTACCATGTGCCAGGGTGTTCTGTGTGAGCAGTAAGGTACAGCAGAAGTGAAGGAATGTCACTTCTGAGATTAGGTTCTAAGAGGCTGTACTTCCATCATGGGCATGTTGCATCTGTTTGTCGTCGGCCTCTCTCTTTCTATCTCTTAGATCACTTACTCTGGGGGAAAGCAAGCCTTGTGAGCAGCCTTATGGAGAGGCCCACATGATTAGGAAATGAAGTTTCCAGCCAACAGCCAACAAGAAACTGAGGCCTGTCAACAGACATGTGTGTGTCCTTGAAATGGATCCTGAGCCTTCAGTGACTACAGCCCTGGCTGACAGCTTGACTGTAACTTCATGAGCGACTCTGAGCCAGAACCCCCAAGTAAGCTGCTTCTCCATCCTTCTACCTCAGAAACTATTTGAGATAATACATGTTTGTTACTTTAAGCTGGTAGTTTTGGGGAGGGGTAATTTGTTATACAGCAACAGATAACTAATTCACCTACTCAAAATCTCTTCTTTCTTTTCTTCTTTCTAACAAGTCTCAAATTTCTTTCAAAGCATCAGTGTGCCCAGAATAAAAACCAACCAATGAACCAACCAACCAAACAGAAGTTACCCAAGAAGAAAAGTGGGACTCAATCTACAGAATCAGAGCACCTTGGGTCTTGGCTGCTGAAACACAAAACAAAGTAAAACACTTTTCTCAGTTGTATTTTAGACTCATACTTAAAACAAAATAAAACAACAACAAACATTTTTGACTCCTTCTCTGGGGAGCTTGAGTGATGAGGAAATCATCAGAAACTATTTCTGTTTGTCCCTCCCTGGTCCCCATCCCAGGAACCAGACTATTGAACTTGGCCAAGAATAAATGGAACTTGAGTTTCAAAACCTTCCTACCCAATAATGTTTCAAATTTGTAGCCTTTGAAGACTGTGAAGATGTGAAATGTAGCAAACTGAATTGAACATTTACCAACAAGTGTTTGGAGAATTCTCTTGCCTTTTTGAGCAAGAAACTGTTTATAGACATGATTGTAAGAACCGTCCTTTTTACTCTCCTCAGTAACTGGGGTTGCCCAATGTCTGAAGCTCTCTTATCTTCCCAGACATTCTTTGATCCACCCACCTTAAACAGAACAGGAAAAAGGGTTTGTTTTCGTTTTGTTTTTAAGCATTGTCACACCCTAAAGGAAAATTTTTAGGTTGTGTGTTAGACTAGACAAATTAAAAACATCTAAAACAAAACAAAACAAAACAAAAAACATCTAAAAACAACACCTCAAAATGTGTTTATAATTTAATGTGGAAATGAATAAAAAGTGGATTCAATTTTGGGTTAAAAATTAACAAAAAATTGTCTTACTGGGGAAACTCCTTTTTTCTCACATTCTTCTTGTTCTCTTCAGTTCCTTCCTCAACTTTTCACTGTCATTTGAAATTATAATTAATCTGCTGAACTCAATGTCTATTAAAATCAACTTCTTGTAACTGTTAAAAGTCTTCTATATTAGGACTTTAAAAAATAATATCAGCTCAGTTATTTTGATATTAAAATATTTTGGGGAGGGGGAGATGAAGAAGATCTGTAGAACAAAAGAAACTGCACAAGAGATCGTGAAAATTAAATTAATTTCCAGTTGTGTAGTAATCATAAGAGAAAGCAAAACATACCTCCCAGAGAAATTGTTATCATATATGCAATCATTTCCCTTGAAATAACATAAATTAACAAGGGAATCTGAACTTTTAATCAGTTCTTTGGCATTTTCGCAGTATGTGGTTATCTAGTGGCATATTCTTAATGGAGGAACTATTAAAACTTTTGGAGCTAAATTATGTCGAAAATATCACACTTTAATTAAAAAATACATAAGAATGAAGAAATGGAAACTGAATACGTACTAGGACTTCTGAAACCTAATCTGAATTGAAATGAGCTAGGAACGTAAATTTTGGTTGCTAGGTGAGGACTCACATTGTTTTACTTTGAAATGGGGACATGAACCCTTGATACAATTTTTTTTTTAAATCACTTAGGTAATAAAAGGACCTCTCACATTGATCATTCTTTGATTGGCCCAAAACCCAGCTTCAACTTCCTATAATGCTTGGAGATAATTCTTATGGCCCAAAGTAAAAGTTAGTAGAATAGAGCATTTCCAGGTTGTAATGTTAAATGTATTAATATGACACGTGGTTGCTGCTTTTCAAATGTAGCTATGAGATTTTAACTCTGCACTATAACTTGTTTTACAGTTTCCAGTGGAAAGGAAGCCATAACCTAGATTGTTAGACGGATTTCAGTGTCAACCCTGAATAAAATCTTGGCTTTACTACATTTTAGTTTTGTGACCATAGGTAAGTTAACTTCTCTGAGACATAGTTTCTCATCTGTAAAATAGATATAATGGTATTTTGTGAGGATTGAATGAGAAAATATGTAAATCACCTGCTTAACAGAGGTCATTTCCCCATTGTCCTTTTCCATTACTCACAGTATTTTGAAGCTGTAACATTAAGAATTCTCACACTTTACAGTTCAAAGTACTTCCTCAGGATTCTCTAGAGTCTTTCTTCTCTCTTGATCTCCTATATCCTTCTTCCATGGATGTTCTTTTTCAGCCCCGTTCTTCCCTTCTTCATGCTGCATTCAATCTCAATACTATTTAAACCTCGCATCTTGTTTTTTTCCGCACACACACCCATGACTTTCTTCCCCTTTTCTTCTCTGCAACCAAATGACTTCTTTGATCCTTAGTGCTTTCTCATTCTCTAAGGACAATTCAGGTACGTATATTTCTTGTAAAAACATTGTGGTATTATAAATACTTTTCAAAGAAAAAAAATCCACTCATGTTGTTTTTCAGTCCCTGTCATATATTTACATTAAAAAATGCGTTTTGTAAATAGCCAAGATGAAGCTGTCCGTGGGTTGGTGTGGTACAATGGCTAGAGTACAGGAAGAGAGAAGCTGCTTCCTCTTCTGCTCTGGTGACCCTTGTGGGTCCATTTACTTCTCAAGGTCTCAGTTTCTTCATCTCTAAAATGAAGCAGTGGGAGAGATTACTCCTGAGGTTCCTTCAGCTCTGAAAATATTCTAAGACTTGGTAGTTTTATAAAATGGGAATGTTCTTCCAATACTGCCTAACCCGAGAGTACAGCTGACCACAGTATCATTATTGAATTTTTTTTCCCTCAGTTCCTATGCATGAGTGCAGAAAATAAGCAGGAGATAGAACCCTGCAGGCACAGATAGGAGTACTTTCTGCCGGGAGGATAATTACCTCTTGGCCTTCTACCATGGGGGCCTATTGATCTTGAGCCACACTGATGCTCTCGGATGGCTCCAGGTGGGCGCTCTTGCTTGGTTCCCCTTATCACAGATTTGTAACTGCTCTACAATGAATTTGTGAAACGGCTGGACAAGATTAAAGCTTCAAGCTTTGCCCTGGAAGAGAACAGATCTATTGGTCTGTGCTGGAGACAGACCCCAAATACCTCTGTGCTGCAGCGAGAAGCAGAGTACTGGTCCAGTCCACTGGGTATGTCAGCTTTGGGGGATGGAGGGGAGAAGGTCAGAAGTAAACATGTTAAGAAAGATGTCCCCATTTATCCACTTCCTGGTTTGGTTTGTTTTCAGAGTATTGTCAAATGCTTCCCTTCCCCCTAATGACAGTGAACTGAAGAGCCAGCAGGACAGAGGTTTCTGTGTTAAGACATGAGTGTGAAGTCTTACTGTATTTTGAGTGCTTAAGGAAAAGCTAATGGGAACTTTCCAGGGAAGATGGTGGGTGTTATTAACATGGAAATATGTATGAGAATTCCTAAATGAAGGCTTTATAGGGTGGAGCTGGAAGCTAATAAGACTCTGGCTGGTTGGGGGTGGGCAGGGTGTGGGACTGGTTGGGAGTGGGGAAAAAGGGTAGGGAAGAAAGCCTTCTTTTGGACTCTGGGGACTCCGTGGGCCTGTTTAAAGGGCCTAGAATGAAGGCTGGAAGGGAGACTGAGCAAAGCAGGGGAGGTGCTAGAAAAACTAAAATGACTGTAGCACAGGAGGGGGGCCCCTGGCCAGGGCAAGAATGGGAACCTGCAGCTGGAGGTAGAAAATACTAGGAGTTTTTGTTTGTTTGTTTTGTTTTTTGTTTTTTAAAGTAATTCCTGAAGGTAAGGGCCACACTGGGAAGGACCTATGGATTCAAAGGAAAGTGGGCTCTAGGAGTCCCAGGGAGTGGCCTCAGCTTTGAACCTGTGGCAAGCCAATGGGCATAACAGTCAGCTTGGTTCCCCCGCCTCCAGGCCTCTAACCTTTGCAGCTAAGGTCACAGCTGTCCAGTTGGCCCAAGGCTCTGGAGCCAACCCTGTTTTTACAAAGAAACTAGAACTGAGAGCTCTAGTCTATTGCCATTGTGGTGACAAGGCTTCTCTTTTTACTGCAGGGTCTGCTCTGATTTGTAACTGGCCTTTTGTCTTATTTCCTTTTGCCTAAGCCTCTGTCTTGGGTCCTAGGATCTGCCTCTTTTTCTTATAATGATATTGCTAACATTTGATTAAGCACCAGCTATTGTGCTGGTCCTCATACTCACTATCGTATTTAATAACCCTATGAGAAAGGTAATATTATTCCTATTTTGCAGATGAGAAAACTGAGGCTTAGAGTGTTTTTTTTCGTTTTTTTGTTTTTTTGTGGTACGCGGGCCTCTCACTGCTGTGGCCTCTCCCGCTGCAGAGCACAGGCTCTGGACGCGCAGGCTCAGTGGCCATGGCTCCCGGGCCCAGCCGCTCCGCGGCATGTGGGATCTCCCCGGACCGGGGCACGAACCCGTGTCCCCTGCATCGGCAGGCGGACTCTCAACCACTGTGCCACCGGGGAAGCCCTAGAGTGTTTTATTTTATTTTTGTTGTTGTTCTTTTGCTTGCCTCCAGTCATGGATCAGAGCCAGGGTTCGATCCAGGCAATCTATAACCGGAGCCCAATTGTGTACCCACCATGCCACCCTGCTTCTATATTCAGTCTCTGCCTTGGTTCTTTGTCTGCCACTCTGATTGTACTGGGATGGGCCTCCTGTATGTTCTTCTCCTTTCAGTTTTGCTGCTGAACACCTTCAGCATGTCTGCCTCCTTCACCTTTCTTTAGTGATGCCCCGCTCAGTGGTCTGCCTACTTTCTGGGTCTTGACCATTTCATGTTTACTGGTCCTGCTGCTTATAAAGATGCTGCTGGTGGCCCCTGAGATTTCCTATGAGCCGTGACTGAATACGATTCTCTCTTACTCTTCAGTAGAGTCTAGTCGTGCAGGTGTAGTCACTGCAGACAGACTGGAAGCAGAGTTTGGCTGGATAAGATGAGCACTCAGGGTGTGAAGTTGGCTGGAGTGTGGATCAGGGCTTCAGTAGCCCCAGCTAGAAATGAGTTGTCCTGGTTTGATGTCTAGATGAGCTGGGGAAGGACCTCTTCCCCTTTAGTGGTGAATTGAGGTCACTTATTGGAATCTGTGGTGTGGCTTGAAAGATTCTGCCCTTCAGCTTGAGTGTGGCCTACCTTGGAGCACGGTGCCTGATGCTACACTCTGACTTCCTGTTTTGATTAGGGCAGAGGTTCTCAACCTCACTACCCATCGCAGCCACCTGCAGAGCTCCTGAGGACTGCTGAGCCCTCTACTCTACCCTCAGAAGTTCAGTTTCAGATGACCTAGGGTGATCTCCAGGCATCCATGGTTTTACAAAAAAGCGCTGCAGGGGATTCTAATGCACAGCAAGGGTTGCTAACCACTTATGTGCTGGGTGATTCTTGGCCTGAGGGTATCACCAGTGAACGGGAGCAAAGCAGCGTAGCCTGGGAAAGAAAGATGTCTTTAGTGTTGCTTATCACCATGAACCCTGAATATCGTGGAATGTAAATCTGATCAAAGAAAGGCCAGGTAGGTTCTTCAAGTTGTCTGGGACTGCTAGAGGAAGCACACCATGTGCTTGAAAAGTGCTGTGGTCCAGGGATTTAGAGAGGATGCTGGAGCTAGAAGGCTCCTCTCTGGGGCTGGGAGCTGCTCAGCTGCAGGGGTGATTGAGGGAAAAGTTTTTGATTCTATCCTAAAGTGGCCCCTAGTTGCCCTGAAGCCTTAGACTGCCGTCCAATGAACTGCCCAAATGTGTTAAACTCTTAAGTCTGTCAGAATTGCAAAGGCAGAAATGCTGAGGTACAGCCTGAGAAGAGGCCAAGTAAAAGCATAGATTATTATTTAAAATGTGGTGGTCTTTGCACGATGGCTGTGATGATCCACATTTGATACAAAAGCAAAAGAAAACCAAACATGTTTTAAACAATATTTAAGACACACTTACAAGGTCAAGGGCTTTCTTAGCAGAAAGATGTCTGTGATGTTTACTTGGTTTTGCTCAGATTTTATTTTTTAATATTTTCAGTTCCTGTTTCTTAGCTTTTATTTTTAAGCCTGTGGACTTAAAATGGTCAACCTTAGGTTAAGTGGTGTATCTTTTTTATCAAAGTTTTGAAATAAAACAAACTTCTGTGATTAAAAAGAGTAAATCTCTGATCACTTTCATGTCAGACAAGGGGTCTCTGCCCATCCAGAGCTCTGTGGCTATCAAGGCAGGAGTGTGCACTGCTTTATCTTGGTGGACCTCATCTTTAATGAGGGGGTTGGAATTGGTGACCTATAACCACGGAATAAAGGCTGACAACTCTTGAGCTACTGTATGTCAGACGCTACGCTAAATTCTTTACACGGATTATTTCATTTATTTCTTACCATGACCCTAGGATGTAAGTACTATTATTATCACTGCTTCTGTTTTAGAGATTAGGAACAGAGGCTTAGAGAGATTAAGTAACTTTTTGGAGGTCACACAGCTGGTAAGTGCTAGAGCTGGGATTCTGAGGCCAGACCCATGTTTATAATCACTATGCTTATATTGTCTCCCTAAAGAACTTTATCACCACTTCATAAAATGAGTTTTGCAAGGCCAGCCCTCTGTGAACCTGTTTCCTCCTAGGCAGATTGCCTCTTCATCTGGGCTGTGAGATGAATGGCTACACCTGGTCATGACTGGCCAACAGGCTAAGATTATTCCAAGTGTAAATAACTGGATAAGACGGACTGAGATTAGTTTTTCTTGAGAACGTGAATGCAAGACTATGAGCTGAAATGAACACTGCAGAATGTAACCAATTTATTTTACTTAAGAGCAATTTGCTAGTACACTCATATTCATAGCATCATTATTCACAGTAGCCAAGAGGAAGAAGCAACCCAAGTGTCTGTGACCAGCGAATGGATAAACAAAGTGTGGTATATACTTACAATGGAATGTTAGCCATAAAAAGGAAGGAAATCCTGACATGCTACAACATGGATAAACCTTGAGGATGTGACAGTACATGAAACAAGCCAGCCACAAAAAGACAAATACTGCATGATTCCACTTATCTGAGGTGTCTAAAGTGGTCAGAGTCCTAGAAACAGAAAATAGAATGGTGGTTGTCAGGGGTTGGGGGAGGGGGAAATAGGGAGTTGTTTAGTGGGTACAGAGTTTCAGTTTGGCAAGATGAAAAAGTTCTGGAATGGGTTGCACCACAGTATGAATATACTTTACTGAACTGTACATTTAAAATTTGTTAAGATGGTAAATTTTATGTTATGTGTATTTTACCACAACAAACAAAGAAGTAGCATTCCCCATAACGATCAGTGTGCTGAAAATAGGTCTTAAACCAAAGTAACATTACTGTCACAGAACTCTAAACAATATTTAACGACGCCTTATTATGTCAGGAATTGCAAATATAGATTCTGTTATTTTTCTTGAATGTTAATTTATTACTCTGAGTTTATGGTGCAGCTATGGGGGTTAAAGGGGATTAGAATTATACCTACAACATAGGGAATATATGATACATTTAAGGCAGTTAGCATGGTAATCGCACAATAAATCTTAATTAGTATTATTGCTATTGCTCTCTTGAAAAATAAAATATTTGGAGAAATGCAAAAAAAAACCCCAATTTGCTAGCTATTATGAGAAATACATAGTTTTTCTAATTTAATGACACCTAACAGTGAACAACCATCCACCAGACCTTTCAGCTCTAAAACTGCAAACCTGTGATTATTATACAACGATTATACCGCTGACTGCATGGTATGTTTCTGAGGGACTATGGCTTTTTCATTACTGTTCGTATAGGCAGGATGGGAGTCTTTATAATATTTGCACAAGGCAGTATCCCACACTGATTCTAGAGAAACTGGAGACAGGGACTGTGAAGGATTTTTTCAGGCTGGGTTTTGTCACCAGTTGGCTTTCTGTGGAGAAGGCAGTGCAGTGCAGGGACCTGGGCTGTTCTCCCAGTTCTTAATGGCTGGGGGGCATGGTGCACAGTCCAATAACTCTCCGAGCAATTCACTTTTCTCATCTGTGAAAACATACCGTTGGATTAGGTGAACATTGTGTCTCTTATCCTGTCCCTACTCCTTCTGTAGACATACCCTCAGAGATCTGGGGGGACTGTCCCCCATAGGGTCATAGGTATGCCCCTAAGGTCACGTAATTAGAAATGGATTGGCCTTAGAAACTTTTTACTTGGATGAAGAGAACTTGTCAATTATGCTTCAAGACTTGTCTGGATTGGATAAAAGGACAGGAAATGATAATGTGAGGACCAGAACTGTATTTTTGGATAATTTAATACAAAATTATGCCATGCCTTCTGTATAGATGAGTGAGTAGAATGAGCCTTCCCAGGTAAACAGCCATTTCTCTGAAAATCTAGATGGAAATGCATATTCAGATGTTCACACTCCAGTAAATTGTAACATGGGGGACGTGTCCCATGGTTGTGTCTCCACGTTCCTACAACAGCAGCAGCTCCTTCTAGAATGTATGCCTTAATGGACTGCATTCAGGGCTAATGAATTCAGGCTTAATTGACTGGAAGACTGTTGAAATTTTGTGTGTGATTTTAAAAGTCACTGAATAAAAGATTGGGAGGGAGCCATAAGAAACTGTCTAGTTAATTACACCACAAAGGCAGGATGTCTTAATTCCCAAAAAGCAAGCTGGTGAGAAGATCTCAGGTGCAAGTTGTTTATTTGGGAAATGAATGAGAGAACAGGGAGAGAGTGGCAGAAAGGCAAAGGGTATCATGGCTGCTGCGGTGGGTAAAGGGCCCTGATGACACTGGGGTTCTGAGAAGCATATGGGGTGTCTCCAGGATTGTCCTTTGGAAAGCATTTCTCCAGGTCCCCATGGCCCATTGGTTGAGGACTTCCAAGCCAACTTGAACATGGGCTGAGTGGGCTCCTGCACTTTCAGAGGAAATCATGAGGCAGGAAAGCAGAAAATTGGCCTGAGATTCATGGAACTTTCTGCCAAAATGTGGCTGAAATCAGAAGTGGGCTGAGGGGATGTGATATGGGTGCCAAGAAATCACCAATCATGTTTTCTACCCTTTGTCCTTGTGGCTTATACGGGAAAGGCAGTGTGGTGTAGTGGTTAACCTTGTGCGGCTATAGCAGAGCATCTGGGTTTGAATCCTGATTCCACTAAGTTTACCAGGCACATGTTCTTGAGCAAGGTACTTAACCTCCCTAAGCCTTGGTTTCTTCATCTGTGAAATGGGGCTATTGAAATCTTCCTTGAAATATTGTGGGGATGGATTATATTATCCAGGTAGAGCACTTAGCAGCCAGGTTTGACTCTCCCAGGGCCTCACAATAACTTAGAATAAGTTAAAAAACTTGTGTAAGCTATTTAGTCAAAATCGCAAATAAGGTCAGACTGATATGTTAGTACTGGAAGGGATTAATGGTCTTAATTAGATAGCATGGAAGTAAGAGTTTTCACCCACTCATCTAGGATGGATTTGGTGGATTCCATAGAAGCCGAACAAGATGACTTTTTAAAATATAGATTTGTATTCCTACCTTCCTCAGGAATCTGCTAGTTTTCACGGTTGATGACATTCCTTTAAGGAACCATATCCCAATGAGCCATAGGACATGAAGAGCTGTCCTGGAGGTATGGCCGCAGGCCCATTAAGTCTCACCTCCAAAATCATTCTCGCTGTGGAGAGGTGCCTATACCTTAAGGAAACACACCTGGCCTTTTCTACTAGATTTTTGGGTTTTGTTTATTGTGCAGTGACCATTTTCCTCCATTGGTAGGGGAAAGTGAATCTGGAGAGGCTGGTTTAGAATGGGCAAGGCTAATGTCTTTATGGCCATAGACCCCTTGCAGAAACATCACAGATGTGGCCGCAGGAAGCCAGTGATAGATGTGAAAAGCCCAAATTTAATTTTGAGCCTGATGTTCAACCATTTTTCCTACATTGGGAGTTTTTATAATGGAAATTAGATATGAGGTGTTTTATCAATTGAGGAGCATTTTTGTATTATGTAACTGCCTCTGGTTATGTAGGTGACTGAGGGACTAGGAACCCAAGAAGAGGGAGGAAAGTTATGGTCCTGCAAAGCCTGGGAAGATGCTGCTGTGTGTCACCCTGGTGAGTTGTTCTGCTGTTTGGTGTATACTCCTTTGTCCTTTGGTTTAAGATTAGGGGCTCAACAAACAGAATCGCAAAATAAAAGACAAAGGGCATGGAGAAGACTGTGAAATTCCTGAGTATGTGGAATGCAACATTTGGGTGTGTGTTGTCATCGTTGATCAATGGATATATACATTTTAGATTATGATAATAACATTTACTTATAACTATGGGAATTCCTCTGTTGTTGGTTATTGTGACTGAAACTTTAACCCTAACCTTAATACCTTCCTCTTCCACAAAAACAAGTCTTTTAATATCACAATTTTTGGCAAACCAGGTTATTTTTAGGAATCTACATATCCCATTATAGCAGAACAAACAGTAGTGTTGAAAGCTCTGAGAGTCTAATTCCAAATTACTATGAAAGCTTCGATCTGTTCCTTGTTTTGGTTTGTTGTTCACAGTGATCCTGCCCATGTTTATTACCATTTATGAACTGTGTTACCATCAAGGTATGTTAAAGTGTAGTGGTGACTTGATCTGTGTTCTAATGTTGGGAACCATCTCCATAAAACGTACACTCACTGACCTGGATGTGATTTTAGTTTCTGTCCACCATCTGCTTTTTTTTTTTTTTTTTT